AGCTGGGTTGGGCCCTAATTCAGTGAAAGAGAGCACCAGCCAAAGGTCTGGGTCCATCTTGTGGGTAAGTGGCTCTTGGTTGGACCAGCCTGCACGGAAGGGACAGGCGGACAGTGAGAAACAGGACCCTGAAGGGAAAAGGGCACCGTGCACAGGTGTGTGTCTGCGGGTGGGTGAGGGAGGGACAGGCTGGTGTGGCACGTACCTGTCCTGCCCCGTGTGGCAGAGGCACAATGGGAGGAGGAGGCAGCAAGGCCCCTGTGCTGGGGACACCGGGAAATGAGGGGTTGGAAACACCCAAACTCCACGTGGTGGCCAAGTGCAGATCTGTGTGCAGGAGGGAGATACAGGCTTTGGTGAATACGTGGTGGTGAAGGCTGAGTCTCTTGTCTTTGTAAAGCTTCCTCCAAATACTCTGTACTGGGACCAAGTATTAGAGAGGTAGATTTTAATAGATTTGGGGTTGTGTTTTTTTCTTTCTTTCTTACTATGGTGCTGATGTATATGTAATGTTAAAAAAAAGTTATTTGTAAATATGTTTTTACAATTCTACAGATATCACTGGGTCTACTATCTGTAAAATATATACATATAAATATATATATATATATACTGTTTGTTTAAAATAGAGTATTTTTATTTCATTCCTTAACTCTCCTTACTGCCAGTGGTATTGCACTTCAGATGATGTCTATTTACTAATTTGTACTGTATCCCTGACAGCAACTTGCTCCATTTTATTCAGATTTTTCTAGTTTTCTGTTTTTACTTTGTACATTAAGCATTGCTTATTTCCTTTTAAGACCTGTACAGAGCTCTGAAGGGCACGTACCTGTCCTGCCCCGTGTGGCAGAGGCACAATGGGAGGAGGAGGCAGCAAGGCCCCTGTGCTGGGGACACCGGGAAATGAGGGGTTGGAAACACCCAAACTCCACGTGGTGGCCAAGTGCAGATCTGTGTGCAGGAGGGAGATACAGGCTTTGGTGAATACGTGGTGGTGAAGGCTGAGTCTCTTGTCTTTGTAAAGCTTCCTCCAAATACTCTGTACTGGGACCAAGTATTAGAGAGGTAGATTTTAATAGATTTGGGGTTGTGTTTTTTTCTTTCTTTCTTACTATGGTGCTGATGTATATGTAATGTTAAAAAAAAGTTATTTGTAAATATGTTTTTACAATTCTACAGATATCACTGGGTCTACTATCTGTAAAATATATACATATAAATATATATATATATACTGTATGTTTAAAATAGAGTATTTTTATTTCATTCCTTAACTCATCCTTACTGCAGTGGTATTGCACTTCAGATGATGTCTATTTACTAATTTGTACTGTATCCCTGACAGCAACTTGCTCCATTTTATTCAGATTTTTCTAGTTTTCTGTTTTTACTTTGTACATTAAGCATTGCTTATTTCCTTTTAAGACCTGTACAGAGCTCTGAAAATGTAGAAAAAGACCTGATGTTAACATACCACTTTTAAAGAAAAAAAAACAAAACAAAAACAAAAAATCAAATAAAAGATGGTTATCCGAGTCATACACAAGGCTGCTCTATAGGATCATCCCTCGCCCCACTGCTGTGCCTCGGTGGGTGATCTTCCAGGGAGAGGGAGGAAGCCAGCCCTAGTTTTGGCCCCAGGTTTTCTGGGGAGCTGCCCTGGCAGCTGGAGCTGGGTGTTCCAGGCAGGACGCAGCCGGTACCGCTGCCCCTCTTCCCCCGGGCTTGTTCCACAGTCGGCGAACCCCCTGCATCCCGGTGCTCCTGCGGGTGGCACAGCCAGGCAGCAGAGCCACAGGCTGCTGTGATGAGCTGTGGGGCTCCATAACTGGGCCTATTAGAGGTGGCAGCTCCAGGCTTTTGTGTTTACTCCATGTAGGGAGCTGGGAAGTGCTCTCAGGGGAGGACACAAGATGGAGGGCCCAGGACGTAGGAGACCTGTGGCTGAGATCTGGGGAGGCAAGGTGGGGTGGAAGAAGGAAGATGCGGTGTTGGATGTAGCAGTTGGAAAGATGTGATGGGGAAACTGGGAAAACATGAAGACACGTGCTTAGAGTAGTTCCCTGTCACCAACTACTACTAGAGAGTGAGAATTGTGTTGTCAGAAGCCTTTTGGAAAGTGCATGTAGACTTGTTGGATTTCTATGGGCTATTCAAGATAAACATGCCGTGCAGCCTTCAAGGCTCAACACCAGTCTCTCCGTGTTCCCAGCCTACCAGAGAGTCATGAGGGATCAGGCACTGGAACTCTGTTTGCACAGCTTGCTGGTCGGTATGTCGATGTAGCTTGGCTTCACGTACAACCTTTAAGGTGAGCTTCCCCTTCCCTTCCTAATGGCAGTCTGTTCCTGTCCTGAACGTGCACCATGGGGCACAAATAAGGAGACTTGCCCAGAGCAGCCTGTGGAAGTGACTCCTCAGCGAGTGCTGGCAGAGACAAGAGGGCAACTCCAGGGCTTGCTGAGACAAGATCCTTCCAGCAAGAGGCCCCTCTGGTAGAGACTGTCTTGGCAGTTGCAGCAGGGACCATCGTTGTTCCTGAGCATGACCAGTGGGTGAACATTTGCGTCAACTCACAGTGTGTGCTGAATGTGCAGCCTGATACTGACTCCTCAGTCGGCAGGTAGG